CTCTCCCTCTCCACCCCCTCACCTTCTTCCTCTCTCCTCCCCCCTCCCCCTCTCCCCTTCTCCCTCCCCCTCCCTTCCTTCCTCTCTCCCTCCTCCCTCCCCTCCCCCTCTCCCTCTCCAATCCCCCTCCCTTCCTTCCTCTCTCCTCCCTCTCCCTCCCTCTCCCTCTCCACCCCCCTCCCTTCCTTCCCTCTCTCCCTCCCCTCCCTCCCCTCTCCCTCTCCCGCCTCCTTCTAGCTCCTGCTCTCCACCCCCTCCTACCCCCGCCCTCCTTCACACGCGTCTCCTTTCTTCTCTCTCCCCTCCCTCCCCCTCTTCCCTCTCACCCCTCCCCTCCTCCCCTCCTCCTCTCTCTCCCCCCCTCCCCCCCTCTCCACCCCCTCCACCTTCCTTCCTCTCTCCCTCCCCCTCCCCTCCCCCTCTCCCTCTACACCCCCCTCCTTCCTCTCTCCCTCCCCTCCTCCCCTCTCCCTCTCCACCCCCCCCCTCCTTCCTTCTCTCTCCCTCCCCTCTCCCTCTCACCACCCCCCTCCCTTCCTCTCTCCCTCCCCCTCCTCCCCCTCTCCCTCTCCACCCCCCCTCCCTTCCCTCTCCTCTCCTCCCTCCCCTCCCTCCCTCTCCTCTCCCACCCCCTCCCTTCCTTCCTCTCTCCCTCCCCTCCCTCCCCCTCTCCCTCTCCCCCCCCCTCCTTCCTTCCCTCTCCCTCCCCTCCTCCCCTCTCCCTCTCCACCCCCCCTCCCTTCCTTCCCTCTCTCCCTCCCCTCCTCCCCCTCTCCCCTCTCCCCCTTCCTTCCTCTCTCCTCCCCCTCCTCCCCCCTCCCTTCCTTCCTCTCTCCCTCCCCTCCTCCCCCTCTCCCTCTCCACCCCCCTCCCTTTCCTTCCTCTCTCCCTCCCCCTCCCTTCCCCCCTCTCCTCTCCACCCCCCTCCCTCCTCCTCTCCCTCCCCTCCTCCCCCTCTCCTCTCCACCCCCCTCCTTCCTTCCTCTCTCCCTCCCCTCCTCCCCCTCTCCCTCTCCACCCCCCCCTCCTTCCTTCCTCTCCCTCCCCCTCCCTCCCCCTCTCTCCACCCCACCCTTCACCCACTTCGGAAGATAAAAGCAGGGCCTTGAAGCCAATCCCCCGCAAGTGTCCCATACAATGATTAATCTTCTGCGCAACAATAGGTTTTGGCGCGCGTTTCGGATTTTTTTTTTTTTTTTTTTATAAGGCGGGAACAATGCAGGTGGAAACCCCTTTCTCTTTCCCTTTCTCTTTTCGCTCTCTTCTTTCTTTTTCTCT